AGTGTAATGTTTATTAAGGCAATTACCTACTTTTTTAATATTCTAGAAATACAAAAATAACATTATTCACCTATTTTCTTGAGTTTTAGTTTTGGAGACAGAATTTGAAAAGAGAAAAAGGGATTTAAATTATAATGGATAATTCGTTTTCTTTTTAATCTATCTTCAAGAACTTATCACATAGTCTCATACTTTATTGGAAGGCCATTTTAATGTTAACTAGTAGAGTTCACTCAAAGGGCAGAACAGAAGAAACCATTAGCAAACTGACGCTCCCATTTAGGCTGGTATTTTCAAGTTTAATTAATTGAAGGTAAATGTATATTTCTTTTAAAAATCAGTATGAATTTTAAAGAAATAAACTTTTCACAAGTATTACTTTTCAAATGAATGAAGATAAGTTACTTAAATTCTTTAAACTTCAGTTTATCAGTAAAATGAACACATTAGACTAAATCACAGTGGTTGTTGACCAATTTTTTTGTTATGAAATCCTCTAAGAATATGGTGAAAATTATGGACATTCTCCCCAGTAAAAACACATGTATACAAAATATGACTGTAATTTTAGGGGATTCGCAGAATCTCTGAAATCCATCCAAGGATCCCCAGGTAAAAAGGGTACGAGATTATATTTCAGGTCTTTTGTAGCTTTAAATTATGTTTTCAGAAATAAGGCAAAAGCCTTTAAACAAAAGGAAGTCAGTCTTGAGAATAAAAGTGAAAACGCAGACACAACTCATTAGTTTACTCATTGCTGTTGAAGACATTAGCTAAGAAAGGCTGAACACCTTACTTATATATAGATGTGTTAATCTGACAAAATAATTCATACCTGAGACATTAGAGGTTAGGCAAAATCAGATTCTTACATAAACCCAGGATATTTCTAGACATGAAAATGTGTGACATTCACAGCTTTCAAATGACAGTAAATTGTCTTGCTCATCCCAACTCCACCATCACCACCAGCTCCAATTCCTTCCCTCTTGGAGTGAGGAAATAATATTATATACTGAAAGCTATATTTGAGACCTTTCAGGTGACTGTTTTGGGGGAGGGGCAATATTTTCAGATTCTGACATTTCTTATTTAAAAATAATTATTGGATCACACATACACACACAAAAACTTACCTGTAGTTCTTGTTCTCTGAAGGAAATGCAGTAATTGAAAACATCCCCACACTCTTGGGTACATTCTCCTAAGCGTGAATGGATTTGGAATGCGCCATAGCTTAACTTTGGAACTGCTAAATTACGCCACTCTGCATTGGCAGTTGGCATCCACCTGCCTACATAAATAATAATGTAAACCCGTCACCTAGAGTCATGCACTTTGTGAAGGAAAAGTATTCTCTGGAGGGAGAGGGAGGTGGTGCAATGACTATCTTTCGAGACAAATAGTCTCTTCTGTAGCGCTTAAGGAGGGCAGATCCACACTACTAAGGAGGTGATTGTATGCTTCAAAAATAGTACTAAAATTAATACATTAAAAATGTTAAAGAATGAAAATGGAAAGATGTTCCTCTGTAAAAGAAGCTCTTAGGAGACCAACTGTTGAACTGGTCAGGATCCAATGGTCAACACCAGAGCAAAGAATTACAAGTACTTAAATACTTGTAACAAAGTAGGCCTAATCCTGGCATTCAGTAGCCTTGTATTTTGTGTTAATGCTTGACTACCAGAGATTTATGTGACAGATGCAATGGAAACCAATGGTAGGAAAATACCTTGAAATGGCCAAAACCCTGAAAACTGCTATGGTTACTGCCAAGGGAGAATTAGTTTTCAAGAGAAATGATAGCAGCAATGCGCTGTTAGATGATCTACATTTTATAAATTCAAGTAATCATTCAAATTATAAAATTTCGTAAACCTTACACGTTAATGTAATAATTTAGATTTAAAATGTTTAAATATGTATGGACTAAATCCTTGTCATTTGACCCCTCTTCTGTCTTAAACGTACTAGATCATTAGGAAGAAATGGGCTACAGATATTTTCTACTTTACAGGCTGATTTTTGGAGGGTTATTAAAATCCTGTGCAGAGGAAGTCATGCTCTATTTTCTAGTCCTCCAAGATCAGGCAGCCTGATGATGTCTTCTTCTCAAGTTAAACCAGAGAAGGTTGTCAGATAAAATACAGGACACCCAGTCAAATTTGAATTTCGAATAAGCAGTAACTTTTTTGGTAAAAGTTTGCCCCAAATATAGCATGGGACATAATTAGACTAAGCCATTATTTGTTATTTACTTGAAATTCAAATTACACTGGACATCCTGTTTTGTTTTGTTTTTTTCCTTCTGCTAAATTTGGAAAATCTAAACAAGGGGAGTTCGCAGGGTCATCCAGTGGATTTTAGCATGTATGAGGCTAAAATGAGAATTCCACTCATTGTCTAGATCTGAACTGTGGAATATGGTAACTACTAGCCACGTGTGGCTATTGAGCACTTGAACTGTGGCTAGTCCAACATAAGATGTGCTATGAGTATAAAATACACAGACTTTGAATGCTGAGTATGAAAAAAATCTTATAAAACATTCTATTAATTATATGTTGAAATAATATTTTTGTGTCTATTGGGTGAAATAAAATGTAATGAAAACTAATTTTGCCTCTATTTTCTTAAATGGCCATTAAGAACTTAAAATTACATATGCGGCTTCTATTTATGGCTCAAATTATCTTTGTACCATATAGTGCTGGTCCAGATGCCTCCAAAGGCTAGAATTTCTTTGTTGTCCCATTTCTAAAAAAAATCAGTATTGGTAAACACGTAAGACTGCTTCTCTCACCTCCCTCCAGCTATCAGAGTAGGTAAAGAGCATGATCATGCCAGGGGAACAAAATTTCTAGTAGGGACTAGCATGAAGTGGCTAGGAACACTTCAAAAACAAAAACAAAATGTGGCATACTGATACCCACGAAAGACAAATCAGAAACCTGATCTTTGACAAAACATTCTTACATGATTAAAAAAAGAAATAAACTCTAATATGGGTATGTGTATATGTACACATGAAAATCAAATCTTCTCCCAGATATTAGTTTCAATGGAAGAAGCCCTCAGTACCATTATTTTGGGTTTTCCCTCCTACACATGATCAAAATCATAGAACAATAGTTGATTTTGTCACCTACTATGAATTGAGATGGATAAGTTATTAATAAGAATTATTAAGAAACAATCTTATTTTTGATACTGTAGTTACAGAGGGCAAAATCTCATAGATCTCATAGGTCCCCATTTTATTTATACATCCTACAAAGAAGTATGTTTGGGGAGATTACAAGTATTTTAGTTAGAATAAATCTTTAGTTTGGTTAAGAAATAATAACCTGTTTAGTTATTTCTATAACCCACCTTATAATTTTCATTAGGTTGGAGATTTAATTCAAAGTGTTTTCTCAACTGGCTAAAAGAGATAACACATTTATCCATTCTATGCTGTTATGAAGGCTAAGATATTTAGCATGCTCTTGCAAATAAAAATTCAAAAAACTGTACATATATATAGGTTATCTCTATACACCCAATAATCTATATTTCTTTTCTAATAAAACCTACATGATAATCTGTTTTGAAGATTTAAATCTTTTAAGTTTACCTGCAGTTATAAAAACCAAGACTAGTTCTAACTCCTCAATCATTTACATACAAAAAAAGTAACTTGGTTCTCAAGGTTTTTCAAAAAGGTCCAGTTTGCATTTTTTCCTCATTCTAACAGCAAACACACAAGTATTTTTTCTCTTTAATATCTTTTATTATACAGATATAGGAAGAACAACGGTTTTGAAAAGACAAAAAAATTATCCTGCATCAGAGGCAGAGTTGCTAGACAAAAATCAGCAGATTACTCCCCAATTTAATGGTCCATAAGTTGTTCACATTTTGTAGAACTAAAGTCTTCAGGATCACTTTAAGAGCTTTAAGAAAAGATGAATGAAATGAAATGGACATATTTAATTTCTTCATCAGTACTTTAAGTTTTCATTAATACTACAGAATACTGGGAATTACAATCTAAAATGTTTTACTAGACATTTAGTCTCTTGTTATTAAAAGTATTCTTGTCTAAGACTGACCTAATGCTAATATTAATGACATTTTTGAAATCAGCATGCTTTTGTTCTTCCCCATAGTCAATTAATGATATCCAAATGACATTTTAATTTAAGACTGGTCATTTTGAGAGACATCTATAAATTATATAAGTGAACAATAAGGTTTTCTGATGTTAGAATTTGGAAGTAAAGCACAGACATTAATTTGTTTATCCTTCATAAGGTTTCCCTGATAGAACCAACATATTAATTCTTCATTTCCTGAAGACAGGAAGAAGTTGTAAGATGAAAAAGAAATTGCCAATTTTAAGTAATTTTTTCAAGTTTTAAGTAATCTTTTTCAATTAAGATCTGACATAAAAAATTTTATGATTACATACCTTTTAAAGATTAGACGGCCTTTGCTTCCACACTTTCTGAAGTGTAATACAGAATACAAAATGGTTTGAGGGGCTTTCCCTGAAGTAAAGATAAGATACAGCTTCAAAAAGATCATGAAAAGTAATTCTTCAAAGCTGGTTCTATCAACTGAAACTACTATGTCACTAGAGGGACTAAATGGTGTCATTGTTTCAAAATTCTTAATCTATATCTCAAGACATACAAAAAAATTCTTGATTAACCCCAGCAGTTATTAACTGAATATAAAGGCAGACTAAACTAGAAACAGGTTTTATTATGACTGGGATTTTTTTTTTTTTAAGTAAAACAAAACAAAAATATCCATACCTCCACAGGGCATGCTTCACTTCTAAATAACGAAAAGCACCTCTTGATGAATGTGTGATGTCCTATTCACAGGTAGCTGTCTGGGTCTCCCTTCTGTGAGAACATCTGAAGGTCTCACACCCTCGATGGAGCATTCCAAAACCAGTCTTAGGTTAGGAGCCTGGGCCCATGAGTGCGCACTCACTACACAGTGCTTACCTTTAGAGAACAAGGTGGCTGACACAAACTGATCAAGTTCTCACACCCCACACCTCCAAGAACACTGAAAAAGATCTGCAGATCTTTCTTGGTGCAGGAGGGACCTCTTTATATTCCTCTTGTGGTGGAAGTTTAAGGTTGTCCTGAGGGAGGAGAGAAGAGTAAAAGATTATACTGAGATCATACTATTAGGATCAAGCTTATCTTTCCATATTACAAAATGAAGTTTTGAGAACAGAAATTAGATGAAATCATGAGTATGCTTAAAATCACATTCTCTTCATTCACAAAAATATCTCCTCTAAATACTGCATGTTTCAAATATTACTCCTTAGACCCAAAACCTTAAGTGACTAGTTCAATGTCTACCCCCATCACTGGGAAGTTGAGAAGTTGAAAAAAAATACAGAAAAACTGTAGGCTGCCAAATGATCATAGTTATAAATTCCGTTTAAAAAAAATATATACAGCTAAACTCATTAAAAAGCAATGAGTTAGAGCCAGCAGAAATTCTGTCCTCCCTTTGTATTTCCAATATAATGGCATATGCTATTTCCTAACAACTAACAGAAAAGTAGCCCTTTGAATTGTGTTAAATGCCACAGAATCAATAAATTATTCTACTATAATCAATACATTAATTTAGTATGAATCAACAGTAGAATCAATCTACTAGAATATAAAACTCCATGAGGAAAGGAAGTCTGGCTTTGTTTTTTGACACACTATCTGTAGTACCTTAAATAGGTCCTGGTACATAGTAAGCATTTAAAAAAATTTTGATTATTAAGAAGAATATTAACCAATCAGTCAATATTCTTAAGGTGAAACTTACATAAAATGAAACAAAAGCCTACAAATGTTCTGAGGAGCTTGAAAATATGTTATACAAAATAATACTAATATAAATGTTTAATTATATATTAAATAACTGTTAGGAATACAATATTTTAAAATGCCATATCCTAAAATATGAATGAGAAAATACTATAAATAAATTATTATGATCCAAACTCCTTGAAAGGAATGGAATGCTTTAAGATCAGGAAATCATGCAGAGTACTTTAAAATATATTATTAAATACCAAATATCAGAAGAAGAATATTAATACAGATGAAAAGTAACACACCTTCTTAATGCTTTAGTATAAACAGTTTTTGTCCACAGAGTGTAGAGCAATATAAATCAAGTGATAAAATGGTTGTCTATAGATATAATTCTGCCTAAGTAAATCATTACCATAATATTAAATTGAAATCAGAAGATGCTATTCTATAAGTATGATTTTCTTACGTATTTTAATATGTACATTTCGTCTGACTGCAATAAACAGAATCTTATTCATTTGTTTTCCTTTAACTTAAACTATTATTAAAAACACAGAGACTTATTTCCTTTAAATGTTTTCCAACTGTTTCCAAATCTGATAAATTAGGGAGAAAAAGAAGAAACACTGGTAGGGTGTGGTGGCTCACGCCTGTAATTCCAGCACTTTGAGAGGCCGAGGCGGGTGGATTACAAGGTCAGGAGTTCAAGACCAGCCTGGGCAACATGGTGAACCCCATCTCTACTAAACATACAAAAATTAGCTGGGTGTGGTGGCAAGCACCTGTAATCCTAGCCACTTGGGAGGCTAAGGCAGGAGAATTGCTTGAACCCGGGAGGCGGAGGTTGCAGTGAGCTGAGATTGTGCCACTGCATTCCAGCCTGGGTGACAGAGCAAGACTCCATCTCAAAAAAAAAAAAAAAAAAAAAGAAGAAATGCTAAAATCAACATCAGATTAATGGTACTGATGAAGGACTGAATGTGTATACTTTTAAAAATCTAATATGTAAGGCCAAAAGAATCAGAAGAAAAAGCTATTTATAAAGTACTTGATTCCATTTGACCCCAAAATCTGAAAATGTAGAATTAAAACTCAAAACATACTGGACAATGTGTATGGTGCATTTCATTTCAGAGTAGAAGATATCATTTGCTGTATGGTCAAAACCACAGTAAGAAAACAGGTAGTAAACTTGGGATGTATGTCCACCCTTCATCACTAAAATAATGCTTTAATGGACAGATTATGGTTTGATTACAGGCAGTAAAAACCTTTCCACATTTCACACATAATTCACTTTTATATCTTGTCTTGGGGAATCAGGTTTAAATATGAAAAAAAGAGACTTAAAACTTTAGGCTAAAGAAGTAAGTGTACACAAAAACTCACTTAATTTAAAAACAATTTTCCTATTTTCAACATCCTGTAAACCTCTGAACTAACTCTGGGGGAAGGGGTGAAAACGGTTACCAAGTACTAAGTGCAGATAATATGACAAAAAGAGCTAAAATGGGGTAAAGGCCAACACAAAGTTGGAAATCCTACTGAAAGGAAAAGACTGCTAGCTGGTTGAATCTCCCAGGCCAACAAGGGCGAAAAGGGAAAACAAACTCCCAAGACAGAGGAACTGACTAGAAACTTACTCATGCTGTGGATAATGGATCCCTTGCCTCATTTCCACCTCAGAGGATGAAGTCTAAGTTTACCACATTCAGAGATTTCATGCTGAATTTTTCATTTCACCTGCAAATACAGACTACTAAGCCATACTAACATCTCACTTTAAGTTCCCTACAAAACTTCCCTGAGCAATCTACTTTCCTTCTTTAATGCTGGCCAGTGTTTCTCATGCAATCTGTAGTGAAGGACTGTTTTCCTCCCACTGGGGACCCATGTTCATGGACTACCACTATGACTATACTCAGCACACTCAACATAAAACTCTCCAGGCAACTGAGTTAAAATTACTGGCCTGCACTTCAACCAGGGAGACAGGTGATGTGTCTGAATGACAGAAATATGACATGACTATAAGAGTTTCTAAACCAATACAGAAATTGAGAGTAAGCATTTAGTCATGGATTGATTAACAAACCAGCACCAGTTCATAGCCCATTCTTCAAGGAGCACTGGTGTAGGCCAGGCGCAGTGGCTCAAGCCTGTAATCCCAGCACTTTGGGAGGCCAAGGCAAGTGAATCACTTGAACTCAGGAATTCCAGACCAGCCTGGGAAACATGGAGAAACCCCGTCTCTACTAAAAGTACAAAAATTAGTCAGGAGTGGTGGAACATGCCTGTAATTCCAGCTACCTGGGTAGCTGAGGCAGGACAATCACTTGAATACAGGAGGTGGTGAGGCTGCAGTGAGCTGAAATGACGCTACTGCACTCCAGCCTGGGCGATAGAGTGAAACTCTAAAAAAAAAAAAAAAAAAAAAGGCACTAATCTAGGTTACAGGAGTAGGATCTTATGATACTCTTCCTTTATACTTTTTATTGAATCCAATTTCCAGTTTTAATTCTCATGTGCCCTTAGAAACTACTCACTAATAAACTATCAGTGACTTATTACAGTATATTCCTTTTACCAGTTCTTTCTACAACACTGTACAACAGAATTTTTGGCAATGGTAAAATTGTTCTATAGCTTCATTGTTCGAAAAGGTAAACATTAGCCATATATGACTACTGCCCATTTGGAATGTGGCTAGTGTGACTAAAGTACTGAATTTATATTTTTACCTAAACAGATATAAATTTAAATTGCACATCAGGCTGGTGGCTACCATGACTGAACAGCACCAGTGCAGTGCTAAAGTGTTACATTATTGTCATGTAACCTTTTAAAAATTTAGCATTTAAAAAAAAATCACTTACTTCCTTCAATTCTAACAGAAATATTTTAATTGTGACTATCACTTTCCATATGTACATCTAGTTATGTACATACTTGTAATCATGGCATATAAATTTACTATTTTATTTTCACTTATATCAAACATTTCTCCTTATTTCTGGAACTACACTATCTAAACTTGTGGCCACTAGTCCCATTTATCTATTTAAATTTAAATAATTAACATTAAATTAAAAATTCAGTTTCTCAGTTGCCTTAGCCACGTTTTAAGGGCTCAGTAGCCACATGTGGCAAATGGCTACCATATTGGACAGTGCAATCATAGAATATTTCTATCACCACAAAGCTCTCCTGAACAGTGCTGTTCTATAGTCTCCAAAAATAATCATTTAAATGTAATATTTTATGTTGCTGTGCTATAATTAGTCTTTAAGCTGGGAATTCTCTCTCTCTCTCTCTCTCTATATATATATATATATGAGATTGATAATTAGCATAGTATTTCCTAATATGTTATTATGATATTTCTAAACATTATTGTGACTCTCAGCATGTATTCCTGCATTATTTCCCAAAAGGGTCTGTTAGCACTGCTTACTTGCAAATATTAGATTTCTCTTTTTAAAAATTGATGTCCTTTAATACAATGAAAAAAATCCCATATTTATTATTCATATGTCTTTATTTTCATATTCTTAATCTGTCACATTCACTTCTCATTTATGTTTCAGAATCTTGATATCTAAACTTGCATATTTACAACAATATGTAACTTATAGCCATTATCACTTTCCCTATAATTTTTAATGTAGTTTCCACAATTTTCTATTATCCTTTTAATCATAATATTTTGGTCCAACACAAATTTTTAATATTCAAGTATCTTCTGGGTGAGTTCTACTAATTCTTCAAATACGAGATGTAAAGGTATTCTCTCTGCTACCTTTTCTAATTCCTAGGGATGATTTTTGTCTAATTAGTTTTGAGGTGTATCACTGAATAGTACTATCCAACACCGCTGAACAAATATCCTTTAAGTGCCCCTCTCTTAGGAAAGAATATTTTGTCACACATTTAGTTATTATGTATGTTAACAGATGGGACAAATTTTGTATTCCTCATAGTCCTCCAGTAATCTATGTTTTACAAAATGAAAACAAGCTGATTTTTTCAGTATTCCTCTTAAGAAAACAGTTGTATTAATTCAGGGAAGTATGAGTAGAAGAAAAGAATGAACGTAGATAGCATGTTCTACTCAAAAATTAAGAAAATAATTTGCTGGTCTATCACCTATTCAGGATTTCTTAACTCACAAAATGTTAAATGTTTGAAACTAGTAAAGGGGCTGGTTTCACATATGTATTGACATTGGCAGAAACCAAGGTGGCATGCAAGCAGAAGCAGAGAAACTGAGGTCTGAGTCAGCCACAGGGATTTGCATATGTCATGGGATGCAGGC